CTTAAAGTTATTCGATGAAAAGATGTTAGGAATCAACATGATATAGTCTTCAGATGCAAATGTGTATCTTATATGTAAGGGCACTATATAACAGAACAGTCTGATGTAAAGATTAGACTTATATATTAGGGAACTAAATAATATAGTGATAGTAATATAGTTATATGATATAATATATATATATAGTGGTTCGATGAAAAGATTTTACTTTAATGTTCGGAGATCCGATGAAATGCTTTGACATATGTTTGAGCCTGGGATCTATATGATATAGGAATCCAATGAAAGTATGCATCTTATATGTCAGAGAACTATATAATAAAGTAGTCCAATGAAAAGATTTTACTTTTCTGTTAGGGAACTGTATAATATGCAGAGAGATATGCTAGCTCTTTAATGCTGAGTAGGATTTGAGTATACGAAAAGACCATTATTAATTTGTTCATATCATAAAAAGCTAGGATCAAAGTCGTTTATTTCACTGGAAGCTATTAGTCATTGTTAATACAAATAAAAGTTCTAATGCATAAGAGCTGAAGTGTAGGTCATATAAGAGAAGTTTCCCAAGTATATCTTGAAAGTTTTAGTCAATTATTCCTATGGGAGCTTTAGAGCTTTCAGATATAAATATATAAAGTTTGGAAACTTGTTTCATAAAGATAGCTTCACGGATCGCCCAGTTAAGATAGATAGGTAAATTGATGGATAGCTAAAAACCGGCTAAAGCAACTTCGCTCTGAAATCTAATCGGAAAAATAAAAACTTACAAAATGCTAACTTTTACGGGAAATACAATATTATAATAACCTCTGGAAGAGTTCTATGAATTGACAAACCTATAATACCCTTTGCCAGGGTATTTTGAAGGCGATGCCCTTGACCATGTTGTGACAGCCGCAGGCCCGATTACCGTTAACAGAGCTCTGCAACTGCAAAACAATTCAAACTAATCGCCAGACTTTACCTTTACCTGGGCAATAACTGAGTTGTTTTTGTTTTTTTGTTTTTTTTTTGTTTTTTGTGCGTGTTGATTGAGTCTGATGCAAATGAGCAGATGTTTTTTTTTTTTTTTCATTTTCATTTTCTAACTGTATTACAGGCCTTATGTATTGGGTTTTGGGCTGGAAATGTGACCCGGCTTGGGCTATACGCATTTACCTGGCACGTTTCACAAGTCGCTTTTCTTCCTTCTTCTTGCTCTTCTTGTTTGTTTACGAAACTGCGCAGAAAGCAAAATGGCATATTCGAAAATTCAATTTGAATTTTGTTGTTTGAAAAATACCCTATAAAGTTGTGGTTCGTTGGATGTGCAGGACTAATAGATACCCTATAATATTGTGAATTATGAGATGTAGAGGCTTTAAAAAATACCCTATAACATTGTGACTTATTAGATGTACAGGATTGCGAAATACCCTTTAATATTGTGAATTATTAGATGTACGGGATTGAGAAATACCCTATAATATTGTGAATTATTAGATGTGGAGCCTTTGAAAATACCCTATAATATTGTGCATTATTAGAACTACAGGATTTCGAAATACCCTATAATATTGTGCATTATTAGATGTACAGGATTGCGAAATACCCTTTAATATTGCGCATTATCAGAAGTACCGGACTAATAGATACGCTATAATATTGTGCATTATTAGATGTATAGGCTTGGAAAATATCCTATATTATTGTAAACTATTAGATATAGGGGATTGATAAATACCCTATAATATTGTGCATTATTAGAAGTACAGGACTAATAGATACCCTATAATAATAAGATGTACAGGATTGCGAAATACCCTATAATATTGTGCAACATAAGATGAACACGGCTGCGAAATACCCTATATACAGAACCATTGATATGCTCAGGATCTCTAGAAATTATTTGTAAGTCTTCTTGTCATTTACTCATAAGAATGCAATTTTATAATACACCCGTTACCGTCTATTGTATGCTTACGGGGTATGCACATGCAACACGAGAAGGTTCGAGCACGATCTTAACTGCTTGAAAGATCTCTCGAACTTGTCGTAAATCGAACAGCAGCAGGCACGACTCGATATGTCAATTGTATCTAGATATGAAACACAATGCTTTCTTTAAACTGTCTGTTTGCTGGTCTAGCAAAATTTTGGGTTTAGTAATATCTCATACACTGAATACATATACACGTACACAGACACAGACACGGAATGCCCTATCTTTATGGGATCGCTGACACCAAGTTCCTGGTCGGGAAGGGCATTCTCAAGAAGAAGACTAAGCAGAACGAATATCCGCCCATCAAGTTCCGCAACCATCCCCAGAACGCGGGTCACGTGAAATTTGATCGGAATGCCTGGCCCATTCAGTTTCGGGTCCAGCCCGATTCCCTTGTCGAGCTGTGCGTAAATGTTGTCGACAAATTGCCCCTGCCATCGGTTTATGAATGGAACGACATGGACATTCGGCGCTGGATCAAAAGCTATGGCTACCCGCAGTATATGGTGAGATCCCGGAACACCCGATAAGGGCAGTATGGAAATTTTAACATTCCATTCCATTCCGAGAATATATCTCTTCCAAAACAATAGCCAAAACTCACTTGCTCATAATTTGATTCGATAAGCTCTGGTTCGAAAGTCTTTAAAATATTACACTAGGTTTTATTCTCGTAACATCATTTCGAGTAGACGTAAATTTCCCAATGAGCATATAGTATTTTTTATATTTTCTTTTTTCTTTTTTAAATATTATTAGGTAAGCAATGCATATGCTTTTGTTTCCATTATGGAGTTAGTTTTTTTTTTTAAATATCGATTTGCAGAAATTTTTTCTTTAGCATAACTCGAGGATTATAAGAGCTATATACACCAGATTTGGTATGAAGCCATATATTATACACTGTTTCATTTTTTTGGAAAACTAAACCATATCGTGAAGGGAATTTTCTTTTCTACTCATCATAACTCGAGGTTCTAAGGGCTGTATATAGCTATAAACATATCATTTCCAATCAGCAAAACTCGAGAATTGTAAGAGCTATAGACACCAGATTTGGTATGGTGAGATATAGATATATATATACTCTATAAAAAATAAAACATATCATGATCAGGTATAGGAAATTTTCTTTCCAACTCAGCATAACTCGAGGATTGTAATAGCTATAGACACCAGATTTGCTATAGCTATATATATATCAATATTAAGTATAGAAAATTTTCTTACCAACTCCATAGAACACGTTCCGCGTGAACATGATCTGGGGCAGAAAGTTGCTGCTGCTGGACGCTGATGCTTTGGCGGCGATGAATATCAAGGACTTTGAGCACATCAAGCATATAACGTACGGGATACGAATGTTGTTTCACTTCGAGCTGGCGAAATTCTCGCGCAGCATCTCGCTGCCGGACGAGAATCCCAACGAGCTGTATTTGCTGTGGCACACGCAGACCGGCCTCAACTATGATGCAGTGCGTCGCTCGGATCTGTACAGGCGCATGCAGCTGATACGGGAGCGTGCGCTCAATCTGGACCATTGGGACATGCTCGAGATGTGGCTGCGTCGGGAGCGTGAGCGCAAATACACGGAACTGATTGCCCTCGTGCCGCGCCGCAATATGTATCGCTGTCCCCAGAGGGCGACAGAGGTCGCCTCCGAGACGGAGTCGCTGACCATCGAGGATCCGATCTGTCATGTCTGTATACCGCCCTGCGAGTGCGAATGGCGCGAACGGGATACACGGCTGCCGTGGCGCATCAAATGCATCAAGCCGTCGACGATAGCGTTGCCGGCGACGCACAGCAAATGGATCGCCCATCAGAACACGTGCGTCCATTGCATACCGCCATGCGAGTGCCGCTGGCCGTCCCGTTATTATCTGACCGGCACGGTTATCAGGTGCCTGCAGCACAGTTTTCCCGAAAAGTTTGCGCCCATTTTCGATGAGCGCATCACGACGGTGGTGCGGCCCAGTCTGGTGGAACGTTGGACGCGCTTCTCGATTTGACACCGAATGCCGCATGCCGCGTACCGAATGCCGAATACCGAGTACTTCGAGTACTTTGCACGCTTCTCATGGAGTATTCGAGTACTTTGTGCACCTCGCATCGAGTATTCGAGTACTTAGAGCACTACACATGGACTATTCGAGTGTTTTGTACAGTTCACATAGAATTCTTTTGATTGTAGCTCACGTTGACTTGTCACATTTACTTCGCCAAACATCAATAAAAGTAACTTTAATTGGAAGAAAGCCCTTAAACTGCATCGATTGTATCCGGATAATTGGCGCTGACAAATCGAATTGATATCTACACGTGTGCGCCCATATGTAGGTTAGTCTAGCAGCAAGCTGGCCGAGCGCAACGACTATGCGATACCCTCTAAGCCCTAGAGCTTGTTTATTTTGTTCTACATTCTACGAAAATATTATTTTTGGATTTATATGTTTATAAAATATATATATGTATATATATAATCTATTTTTGGAAAACAATCTATTGAATACTAATAAAACAAAATAATAATGTGCCTATTTAAATAGAAATTCTAAAGTTCAATAGCATCTGCCGCCCATTTGAGAGCCCCAACAACAAATGAAACTAACGCTATCAGTTCCGTTAATCATTTAGCAATTACAAACATTACACAGGCCTATTATACCCGCTCTGACCCCCCCCTCCCCCTGCGCAATCAGGGCAACCGAAAAAGGTACAGCACAAAAATAAAGCAAACAGCACAAAAATTTGAATTTTGCATCCCACGACGACGGCGACTACAACAACAACAACACCAACACACAGCCAAGGCAGCGACGTCAGCGGCGGCAGAAGCAGCACGAACACTTTAACGCGATCCATTGTAAAAACAGCACAGCATTGAACCGAGCGCCAATGCTGTCAGCGTCAGCTTCGGCGTCTGCGTCAGCGGCAGCGGCAGCGTCGACGTCAACAGCGCTGGCGTCGCCAGCTCGCAGCAAAGAAAAAGCGACTGTCGCACAGGCAACATTTTCAGTTCAGTTCCAACAATCGGAGTGTCAAGCAGCTGGCAAAGGCGCAGGCAAACAGCAGAAGAGACAAACCGAAACCGAAGCACAGGCAAAGAGCCAGAGGCGCAACTCAGACGCCGCTGCCGTCAACTGTTCGAAAATTTTCTGGTCGAAATCGTCTGAAGAAAATTAGCTTAAATTTAAATGTTGCCTGCGCATGCGTTGCGCTCAAAGTGCTATTCATAACTAAAATAAAACAGCTGCCGCAACAACATTTTTGAGAATAAAACAACGATTTTCAAGAAGACCGACAAAAAAATAAAATAAAACTGAAACAAGCAAAAGAGAAGAGATAAAAACAGCAAACGTAAAACTACTGTTATGTACATTTAATTGCTGTAATACAACGCGTGCGTGTCTCTCCCTCTCTCTGTGGGTGTGTGTGTGTGTGCATATATGCATGTAAGTGTGACAGTGACATCCAGAGAAAAAAAAGAATCCTTCACAAAAAAAAAAAAAAACGCGCGTGAATTTTGTTTTTGACGCGCATTCTGTTTGGAAACAGTGTGAAATAACTGTAAATTAATTAAACTGTACAACAAATTGTGCTAATTACAGAGCTAGCTGTAAACGATTCACGTTTTTAAACATCCTTAAGTTCAAGGTGAGTGCCAAATATAGACAAAAACGTATTTTTATATTTCTCAAGATTTCCAGGAAATCCATTTTTTTTGCGACATTTAAGTGGGGCGACTGTTCAATACTTTTAAATTCCAGGAATTTGCGGGCTTAATTAGTAAATTTTTTTTTTAATTATTAACAGTTGCTGTTCAAAGCGAAAGTTTTTTTGTGCAAGTGTTTTTTATCAGAAGCTTTTAAGGTAAATTTAAAAAAAAATAGATGTATGAAAAATGTTTTTAATAATACTAATAATACTTTAAAAGTAAAAATAAATAGTGGAAAAATATATTTTCATGAAAATATAATTTATTTAAATTATTATTTATGGAAGTTCAAACTTATTCAAAGTTCAAAAATGTTTCGGAAATAAACTTATTTAAAATAAGAAATGTGATTAAAAATAAACAAATTTTAAATATTTTAATTTTGTAACAAAAAAGTTATAAAATCTTTTTGTTGTCAATTTTCAAGTATTTAAAAAAAAATGAATTTTAGAAAAATGCAAATTTTTCTAAGTAAGAATTTTTTTGACTAATATAAAAATTTTAATTAAATTATTTTAGTTAGTATTTTCAAAACTAAAATAAAAGTTTAAAAAAAAAAAATAGTTAAGTGTTCAAACAAAGTCAATTAAATTGAATTTAATTCAATTTCAATTTAATGAATTGAACTTCTATCAATAAATAAGGTTTTTGTGGGCTGAACAAGGCTTTAATTGCAATCAAGATAAGATAAAGTTTGCAGAAATTTCAATTAAATACAATAAGAAAAACTTTTCCCTTAGAAAGCACATTATCAGGAAAAGTATCTTAAAGATACTCCGAACAGAAATGTAAATGTAAACTAAACTGTGATTATTTATTTATATTGTCAGTAAAAGTTGAAAAAGATTAAGAAGCAAAATACTTGTCCATAGATAGATAAATATATATGTATATATATATAGATGAGGCCTTAGTCAGCAGATGACGTACGATTCGAAATGGGCAGACGAATGCCTGAATATTCGCATATAGACATACAGACATACAGCCATACAGACATACATATGTCGTATGTAGCCAATGCCCAAGTCACACAATTGTACAATTATAAGTATATTTAATTATAAGCACATCGAATGAGAGACGCCGCGTTTTATGCGGCTAATAACATGGCAACACGCTGAGGAATAATCATGTCTAACAAGGACAACGACAGTTACATATATAGCACAAGTAAGAGTGCTCGACTAGCCGATACCCTGGACACTGAGCAGTTCCCATGCTGCACTTCTCATATTCCAAGTTCCACACAATGGAAAATGCATTCCCGCATTAACTTCGGTGCTTATAGTCCGATTTTTATTTTCTTGAATATCTTCTTAAATATGTCATAAAAAAGTGTGTGTATACCAAAGTGCAAGGTTCTATCGATAATTTGTAAATGGTAGAAAGAATAAGAAGTCTCTAAAGAAAGTTTCCAAAAATTAACATTTATGTTGAAAAATACCTCAAAATCAATTTGTATCGATACTTTGTAAATGGGAAAATATATCGAAAGACAAAACTAGAGGAAGTTTCCGAACTCAAAATATTATAAAATATATTTGAATACTCTACAATTTTTTATTTATCGATAATATATAAATGGAAGATGATATCAAAGAGAGATGACAGAAGAGCCGCACATTGTTCCGATTGAGCATATTTCAAATCGATTTCGACTGTTGCCTGCAACACATATACCCTGCATACCCTTTCCAGCCATGGGTACGGGGCATACATATATGGTTAGATGTTTGTAACAAGGCAATTGTGCTCGGTTTGTTGCCAAATATTTGCACTCTATACAAATTGACCGAGTTGTCTGTTGCTTTGATAATGGATAATACATATGTTTACGGGCGGTCGGTTGCTAGGGCAGAACTTAGAACTTGACACTGATTATTATGCAGTCTGGACTTAAACATGTGCACACAGAAAAAAAAAATTAGCATACTTGTGCACTGAGCGAAAAATAGCAGAAATTTAAATAAAATGACTGGCAGAATTTCACAAAGTTTGATTAATTCCAAGAGTTGACTTCTAAACTAATTCATTGGGAGGTTCAAAGAGGGCGGAAGACTAAGAAAAAATGGGCTGCGATGAGGTAGAGGGAGTTCTAAGCTTCCAAATCTAGCCTCAAGCTGAGTTTTGGTTTGAGCCTGGCCAGTACAAATGCCAGCTTTGTCATACTCGCAACAATTCTCATAGCCAGAAGCAATTAGATCTTAGTTTCATATTTTTTAAACTTCCTCAAGTTACGCGGAATTCCTATATCGAAAAGTTCTTATATCTGAGTGCCATATGGCCTTAAGCTATATCTCAGATATGCTTAAATTGGAAACCTACTCAAGTCCTAGTCCATTCGTTCCCAGCTTTATCTCCTGCATATTGCCTCAGCTTGCTGACAGCAGTTGTGATTTATCAATGGCGCCAGTAAAACTATCAGAGATAACAATTATATTAATGGATTTATTGGTGCATATATATATATATATAGGGTTCTATTTTATATTTGGTGCTTGCATTTGATTTTGGGCCGCATTCACGATAAGCAGACTCTAGACCCGCTCGCTTAGACTCTAGACCCTGCCAGGTGCTAAGTTGCCTCTATCTGGATGAGTTAGTTATGAATGGGCAGCTCGTCCGTTCATTCTTTAAATTGTATCATGTGGCCCGACGTTATCTGTGAACTTCCTTTTGGCGCTGAGTCATGTGCGCCAGCCCACCTTCTTGTTCACCTTTCGAGTCGCAATCTGTTCAACTGTTTGCACTGGCAACGACAGGTAGATACACTCAATATGTTATCGAGCACGTTTCGGGTCACAGTTGGCGTACACGAGACGAGATGTGCGAGTTAGCGATAAGATAAGAAAAGATATCGGCAAGGGGCATAGTTTCATTAGCTTGGCGTCTACATATAAGCTAAGACATGCACATCACATGATATCATTACCATAAATCATATATAATAACTATTCTAATACGAAATTCTATTGATAACATTTTCCTTGCAGCTCAAACGTGCGACATGTCGAACACGGAGCGACGCGGCCTGCAAAGAGTACGAAGTAAGTCTGCCCCTAGCCATAAGACGAGCCCCCTTTTCTTTCTTGCGCTCTGATAGAACAAATAAAAGAAAATTTCAATTGAAACGGCAAATAGCACGCATAGGAAATTCAGTTAGAGACTAATTTGTCGACTGGGCGGACAGGCCCTCGATATATGTGTCTATATTTTATTGTTGACAGTTCTCGATTGGTGTCAAGTGGAACAACTTTAATTGAGGCTGCAAATCAATTGAATGTTGCGCATGAATAAACACGCAACGAACGAGCGAACGTACAGTTTGTAAGGGTATCAAAGTGTGCTGCCTTTAAATTAATTACGCTCCAGTTTTTTCAACTCAATTTTCCATTAAAATACAGACAAATTAAATTGCTTAGTTTCTAGAAAAATACCAATTTCAGTATGCCCCATTTCTACAAAATTAATATCAAAAAAAAAAAGGGAAATATATTCTATAAAAATATGAATAATATTCTAATCTTGAGTTTGAAAAGTAAGAACACTTTGATTCTAATTTGCGAGTGACCAATGATATATAGAATTTCCAGCTATTTCTATGCTGAGATGACACCTCATAGTTAAAACTGCAAACCTATTTAAATTTCTTTCATTCTCTTTAACTTTAAACACCAATTTAATGAAGTCTCTAAGAAAACTTACATATCAAGTATCGAAACGAGAATTACTTTAAGGAATTTCGAGATGTATTTATGCTAAGATGACACCTGATAGTTAAGCCAGCTTTGATTATTTAACCCAATTTCAATATCATTTTTAGTTTTTTTTTAATCAAATTAAATTTTCTAGCTACCAATTCAATTTGATTTTAAAAATTATATATCAAAAAAGAGTATTACCTTATCTAATTTCTAGTTTATTTTATGCTAAGATGACACCTGATAGTTAAGTCAGCTTGCAAGCAGTGCAAGGGCAAGCAGTGCTCGTAACAAGCAGTGCTTAACTCTTTCAAGGCTTTCTGCAGAGATTTAGACATTACTCGGAGCTAATAAAATATGTTATATTTATCGGCTGTCAAGTTCTGATTAGTTTGATTAACATTAAGCACCAAAAATTATTTGCGTCAATCCCTGACAAATATTCAATATTAGCTATGCCATCATCAACATGTCCTTCATTGGCTTGGGCGTTGTCAGAATAAACCGGATAACATCATCCGCTCCCAGCTCTGTCGCTTGGCTGGCCCTTATGACGCCATTGTTGTGACATTTCGAGGATTACTCATAAATACCATAAACTATGCAAACAAATTATCACAGTCACGCCAGCTGAACACGTCGCTTGACTAAGTGTATTCGCCGTTTCGTCCGCAACGGGGCGGCCAACAATTGGTTCGTGGGGGTGGGCTAGTTCCAGCGACTCAAGTTTACACGGCACAGTGGAGCTAAAATACAATTTTTGTGGCCAAAATACCAAAGGAACTGAGAAAATAACGATTTTGCATAATTTCAGCAAGATATCTGCTAGATATTTAAATGAATCTACAATCTATAATCTTTGATCTATAATCCATTATCTCATTTTTGAGATGTTTTCTAGGGCTGTGATTCCACTGTGCGGCATTGCAATTAAACTTTTTGTTATTGTATTCATTTGACGATGAGAATTGCGCGTTAGCAAAAAAAAAAAAGTAAAAAAAAAAGAAATAAACCCCATAATAATAAAAATAAAACGTGAATAGCCAAATCAGCGTCAGGTTATTTGAGTATTTTAGCTTTTTAGCACTTTGGCTACACGGCCAGACACTGGGTGAGAGGGCGACGCGCCTAGGGGTCGGGTGAGGGCGGTGGGGTGGGTTAGTGTCAGTCAAGCAGAGACAATGGCCACACATGATACGATAGTTGGTTATAACCCGAACTCATTAGATAAGCCAAATGTGCTAATCAGATATTAAAGCTGGCAATTAGCACGACTAAAAATAAGCCACAGCCGGGCAGGTGTGCTGGGGGGCGGAGCGGGGCGTTGCCTCAAGTCACACGAGTTGCTGGCACATTTAGCAAATTGTCCTTCAATCAATGTTTAATAAGAACAACACGAACAATTATGTAAATTGTTATAACTCTTAACACTCACAACAAAACATATTAAATAATAATAAATAAATAAATTGATATGCAGCTTATTGTTAACTATTTGCAATGCAGTCGACGCCCACGTCGTTCGCAATGCGATCCAATCACAGCATAAACACTTCATTATTCCGTGTCCCTGCACTTGACTAACTGCTCGAAGGTAAAAACAAAAAAAAAACAACTAATAAATATAATAACCATTTTTTATATGGGCCGATATGCATTAAGTATCGCATTGCGAATGCATTTTGCGCAGGCGAAGGTCGTCTGTGCGCAATGTTATTTAATATATGCAAGTGCAAGACTGGAGACTAAAGAAAAAACAATTAATAATAATGTTTAAAAATGTGTGTGTGTGTGTGTAAAAGTGGTTATTGCCCAGCTTTGCCCGATCCAAATGTATTTTCTTTAACTTTCAAATATTGTTTGCTCAACCATTAACCAAAGATCTTTGACAAAAGGCTTAAAATCAATCGGTTGTTAAGCAAAACCCCTTTTTCGAATGGCTTTCCACTCGTTTTTCACAATTACGGGTGTAACTTTTCACATCATAGTTTTCCACGCATTTTTCACAGCTACAGGTGGAATTTCTAACAGTGCTCAAACTGTTAAGCAAAACACTCTTATAAAATGATTTACCACTAGTTTTCCGCAGTTGCAGGTGAATTTTCTAACAACGCTGAGATCGCTAAACAAAAAACTCTTATAGAATGAGTTTCTGCTCCATTTTCACCCGTACAGGTGGAATTTAAAAAACCGCTGCGACTTGCTTATAAGCCCCTTTGTCTAACATTTAACTGGGTTCCTTAGTGGATTTGCAATAGGCTTAAAAAATTCTCTAAACTGAGTTTGAACCAGAAACTTCGCCGCAAGATTTTCGCTAGACAAATCATTTTCCAATAATTTATCTAAATTCCCATTTTCCTGATATTTTTGCCTTCCATTTTAAATTCGCATGCAAATGCAAATAGCTGTAAGATTAATATATATTAACATTGTAATAAACGAGTTTTGTTTTGTTTAAGAAATGACGCGTTCAATGTAATTAAATGCCACGTTTTTAGTTCCATAAACACATGTCAAGTTGTCGAGCCCTGATAAGGTCTCATCTTAGCAACAGCCGCAATTGGTAAACCACAAAACAAGTATTGTATATATATCTACATGTGTGTGTGTGTGTGTGTGTGTGTGATTAATGAAATTTAGCTAAGCCGCCCTATGACTAATTCCATAAAATTTAAGATCAATTTACGGTATTATTAATGTCGGTTCAAAGACCACGTGAAGTTTTCATTACTTTGTTGTGTGTTTTCTGTACCCTGAGTGTATTCGAATTTTTTCTTTAACTGTGTAACATATAGATCTTCCAAGTATATATAAGCTTTATCGGTGTCAAAAGAGGAAAAGATCTTGAATGTGTGATTAGAGATTACCAAACCCTTTCAGAATATATCTAAATATCTTACTTTGATATATACTTATATATATATGTATATATCTTTATCAACCTCGAAACGATACGAAACCATAAATTATAGATATTCGTTATTAGAAACCTACAAAATTATCTTTAATGTATGATTTAAGATCTTTCGACCCTTTAAAATTACATATATCTATTTATCTATCCAATATTTATATTCCTTATCTGCAGCGTTAGGGAAAACGATCTTAAATATGTAATTGTAGTTCTCCAAGCTCTTTAAGAATATCTATTCCTATATTCCAGCCCATCAAGCATAAATATTCTTGATCAAAGAATCGAACTATTCATGTTCTAGCTATCCATCTATTCACCTATCTATGTGAACTCTGCGCCCAGTCAAGTTATCTTAATGAAACTTTGCATAGGACCATTTCCTTGCGGCAGATGGTACATATATCGCAACCAGCCGGATCGGAGCACTATATCATATAGCTGCCATAGGAACGATCGACGTAAGTCGAAGTTCCTCAATGAAAAACTCTTCTAGATATCAAGATATCTTGAAGTGTATTTATTCTTCGGCATTCAATCTTTTATTATTCCTTTTTTTTTTGACAGTTAACAATTGTCATTAAAAACGGCTTTGTTTAATGAAAAATTTAATGGAGCTTTGTGTTCTTTTTTTTCTTCATGGTGTTTTTCATATGACTCAATTAAGCACATTCGAGTATTTATTTTTGTTGTAGAAAACTTTTGTGTTTTTCAAATTGACGTTAATTAGTTTCTTGGAACTTGAAGCTGAGCACGTTATTCTCCTAACTTTGTAAAGATTTTGTTTTTGCTTTTTATTACTTTTTTATTTTTGCATATTTTTGTACAACTCACAATTACAATGCAAATCGATTGCGAAAACCTGTCAGTACTGCGATAAGACTACAAATTGGATAGACAAGTTGTGTGTGCGTGTGTGTGTGGCTGTGTGTTTATTTCCCATTAAGTGCACATAATTTCATGTTTCCGGTCCATGGCACACTTTTAGCGCAATTATAAGACGCATTTCAAAAACATATAAATTAAAATAAAATTCCAATCGTCTCAGTGGAAAGTTCAAGAATGCCGCCGGTCACTGATCGTCTAATTAAATCAAATCCAATGAATGAATTAAATAGAATATAGAAACAAAAATAAAAAAAAAGTGCCGCGCACGCCGACTTTGAACCGATTCGATGTCTACTTCTATTTCTATGTCTGTGTCTCTCGATCCGGCCGTGTCCCTGCTCCGGCGTACACAAGTCTGACTTGTCAGATAAGCCTCAGTGTCCAAGTCGTGTGTATAGAAATTTATTTGATAATAATTAATATAAAATGCCATACATCAGTAGCTGCAACTGCTTATACCCTGTAATGTGAAAAGATTCCCGGGAGTTTTCCCATTCAAAAGAAATTGTCATCAAATCAATAAAGTTAATCGTATTGTCGAATAGTT